GGCATTGTGATTACTTGAATATACAGTCATACTACATTCAAAATCAGATACGTTATAATTTATCACGCTAAAAACTTTTCACTCATGAATCATAACGTCTGTCTGCTGAGCCCTCGTGATAAGTGCGGCTGTTGACGTTTACATCAGCACCAGCGCCTCTGCAGTGTGTGTAACGTTATGATGACTGATTAGATGCAGTATACATACTTGGGCTTGTTTTGTTAAACAATTAGCCTATGCAATTTATACCGCTAAAAGGGTATGAAAGGTGCTAAATCTAGTGCTAAAGTCGTGCTCGTGTGCGTGAGACGTGGGAGCTGATAGCAGGGGGCGGTGGATATTTGTGGCGGTTAATGTGGATGTTGTGGATGAGTTCTTCTGTGTCATCACGTTCTATTAGTTCTACAGCTTCAGTTTCGGAACGTTCACGCTTAGTAAGACAGCTGTTCCCTCACCACAGTGCAACAGTGAAAAGGGACCCCTTTCAAACAGTGTCGCATAAGCGACATAAATTGTCGGTATATTAAAAATGCATGTCATAACAAAAATAAACACCGGTATTCGGTATGAACCGGTATACCGCCCAGCACTAACAGCAACTATTTTATATTTTGTGGCAGGGCCAGTGAAAATTTGAACCACTGAGTCTGAGTTGGTTCTTGTACAGACTGAACTTTTAAAAAAATTACTATTTCTATTGGAGGCTGAGTGTAGAGTGTAATCTTAGCAGCAATATCAGATATTTTATGAGATTAAATGCGAGATGTCAAATTAAATACAAAAACTCTGAACATGACTTATTGCTGCAATCAATAAAGTGATACAAGTCCAAACCACCACTGTATATTTCAGTAAAATAACTAGGGATGCACCGAATGTTCGGCAACCGAAATTATTCGGACAAAAATAGCAACAAAAGCTCTTTCGTGTGTTCGGCTGAATAAGTGAAAAGACAGAATAAATTGTACCGAACAATGACGTGACGCGATCAAATAGAGGCGCGCAAATGCAACAAACATGTCGACAGTGTGGAAACATTTAAATTAAAAGTGTCCGAGAAAGATGCAAAAATCATTACAAGCACCGACAGCGCGAGACTGATTAGCACTGCATCGCATGTCTACGATGAGAAGTGGAAGGGCTGATTGTTGCTGGTAACTGCATGATGACTGAAATAGCGAAATTCCTTTAAACAATTAAATAAACTGAAGAACGAAGAAAATCTGCGCTGAAATAGTGTTATTCGTCAGTTGCTCAGTAACATTTTAATGAATTTTTTCAAGGCATGTGACAATGCGATACGTGCAACAAACGTCTTCCCAAATTCGTAATGAGAATCATTTATAAATTTACTGTTGTCAACAAAAAGAAGCACTGAGGTCTTCCTGCGGGTTTCTAACGAAAATAAAAGCTGAGAAATTGCAAGACCGCCATCAACATTAATAAATGTTATTATTGTAATTTTACTGTTGTTCTGTAAAATAAAACAAAAAAGACAATAATAATTGCAACAGCTCTATTAATACATTTATTATAGCATTCAAACATAGTGTTCAGACTGGGATCTGTAATATTTTCTAATGTTTTAAAAACAGTAAGTTCTGCTCAGCAAGGCTGCATTTATTTGTACAGTAAAAAAAAAAAACATGCCCGATTCAAGAAGGGGGTTTCAAAAATGACCAAAAAATATTATTTTACTAACTTATTAATTTTAAGTTAAATTGTGTTTTATTGGTATAGTGTCTGCTAGAATATTAAGAAATGTTCAGTGTTAAGTAAATATTTTTAAAGCACATTTTGGCTATTTAATTTATGAAACGGGCAAAAAAAAAATCGCTAAACCGTGTTCGCTATTCTATGAAGTGTTTCATTTTGTTGGGCTTCGGCCAAGAATTTTCATTTCGGTGCATCCCTAAAAATAACTAGGCAGTTATTGTCTAGTCCTCAGTTGTTCAATTCAGGACTTTCTTCACCTTAACTTGGACACTTAAGAACACTGGGATTTTTTTAATCAGTCATATTATCCATTTAATTGTACAGACACGGAACTGAATTGAGCATAATAATGACACTATTGCCTTCCATAGATCCATAGATCTGAATTGAACTCGTTTCATAACTGATTATCCATATTGTATAAAGCACTATATATATATATAGATAGATAGATAGATAGATAGATAGATAGATAGATAGATAGATAGATAGATAGATAAATGTGGCTTGACACTGTTTTTGATATGCTGTATACAGAGACCCAAACTCAAGAAGGAACATGAAATAATGGATTGTTGAGTGCACAAAAACATAAGCTTTTCTTAATATCCACTTCTTTGTCTTTAAGAACTTAGAGGAACAGTTCAGCCAAAACAATTTGCTGTTAATTTACTTGCCCTATGGTCATCCAAGATGTAGGTGACTTTCTTTCATCAGCAGAGACTGCTTTTTGACTCTCAAAGTGACGGCACCCCTTGACTTGCATAATATGAATCACCAAGGACCATGGATTCAGCTACTCATCTTTAGTCTCTACTGAACAAAGAAAGTCACCTACAGTGTGAATGGGTGAATAAATTAACAGCATTTATTTTCCATTTTTGGGTGAACTATCCCTTTAATAATGTCAATAATAGTGCACTAAAAAGAATCAACATCAAAAAAAAGAAATGTGTAATTAAACTTACAACCCACCTTTTATTAACTGTCTGTAACTACTGTATGTACTAACCTTTACCTATCCCTTTAATAATGTCAATAATAGTGCACTAAAAAGAATCAACATGAAAAAAAAGAAATGTGTAATTAAACTTACAACCCACCTTTTATTAACTGTCTGTAACTACTGTATGTACTAACCTTTAAATGTATCATTTAATACAATCATGTGTACATGCCCATCACATTGTACTTCCATCTACAACACTTTCATGTAATTACATCTGTAGCCTAATTAATTTATGTAATTACATCAATAATCACTTTTTTGTCCCTATTCCTACCTCTTAACCCACTTTTAAACCTGTAACCTTATACCACCTCAATAGTAGCAAGTGTTTTGCACTACAACCAGGGTGCGAACTACGGGGGAGCTAGGGGGATTAATCACTCCCCTTAATAAGACATGGGCTCCCCTGAAAACGTGATTTGTG